GGGCACCCCGTATTACGTAAAAAAACAACAACAAAAAAACAAAACAAAAACAAAACAAAAACAAAGCAAAAACAAACAAACAAACAAGCAAATAGAAAAAAAAGAAAAAAAAAACCAACAACAAAAACTCCAAGAGGGAAACTTGATACTCAACAAAGGGAGTCTTATCTGCCCACACTTTCCGCTTGGACGCTGCGTTCCACTCCACGTTGTGTCATATCAGCCCGTTCACTAAAGCGCAAAACACATAGATCTAAACGACACAACACAAGTCATGTGAAAACCACACGAGGTACCTTGTTAGCGATACAGCCGATGAAAAATTTGATGTCCAGTTGAGTGGGACAGCTCTTTTGGCATGGGGCGTCCGCGCATTTTAGACAACGTGCCGCTTCTCTCAACGCCCCGCGCTCGCTCAAGGTCGTGTGCTTGATGTCATCAAAGTTACGCGTCAGAGTATTACACGACTGTGAAGAGACATTCATTTTGTGAGAAGTCCGTTCTAGATGCAGGTAGCTGGATGTCATTAAAATTTATTTTATTTAATTGTACCAGAGTATCACATGAATGTGGAGAAACATTAATTTTGTCAGAATCTATGCCATTTCTATACACAAGTAGATCTAGCAGAAATGTGTCGTTGATGTTATGAAATTTATTCGTCGAATATTACATGACTGTGGAGACATTACTTTTTGTAAGAAAGCCTTTCTAGACATAGGTAGCAGGAACATGTTGTACATGTCATTAAAACAATATGCACCAGGGTATTACAGGAATGTGGAGAGACACATGTATGTTGGACTCTACGCCCTTTCTAGATGCAGTTAGCAGGAACGTAGAAGGATTTTTGTTTTGTTTGAGTTTGAGTAAAGAGAAGCGCATTGCACAAAAATGATCATTTAGTGTTGGGAAAAAGTAAGACTGACAGACAAAAACAACACAGAGAAAGTAAAAAAGTAGAAACTACCGGTGGCGCCCTCCAACCACCCGCAGGGATGTGTACTTGATGTCATTAAAATAATGCACCAGAATATTACATGAAAGTTGAAAGTGGAGAGAACGCCCTTTTTCAGACGAAGGTAGCACGAAGGTGTCCTTGATGCCTCTCTGATGTCACCAAAATAATGCACCAGAGCATCACACGAATGGGGAGAATTAGAAACATTCATTTTGTTTAGACTCTTCGCCTTAACAAGAAGCAGGTAACGGTGTACTTGATGTAATCAAAATGATGCACCACAGTTATTATTTCAGTATCATACGAATGTGGAGAGACATTCATTTCGGTAGGTGTCACGCCATTTCTAGACACAAGCAAGCCATTATGAAGGCAAGCCCCATATTGTGGCCTGTCAAGGGTCTGCTTTTGACTCGGGACCTCAGTAATTGATCGAGTCAGCACGAACGAGAGCTGGGCATAAGGAAGAGAAGGTTCAGATACTAAACTCGAAAATGTTCTTGTCAGTCTAAAGCAATTATATATATATA